GTCAAACATCACTTTGAGAGGGGACTGAGGCTGCATTACCTGACAAAGGGCAGGCTGACTCAAAGACCCCGCACTCCGGATTTCAGGAGGACTCCCGAGCAGGTGGTCTCAGCTATTAGGAGTTCCACTGGGAGGCCTCAGACACGGGTTCTAATCCTGGCGAATGGCTGGACTTTGGATAGGCTTCTTTACCTTCCTTCATGGGAACAGACGCGAATCAAGGTGCACGTCCCATGTGGCTCCCGCGGGAGCCGTGTGCAAGCTGATGTGGGCGTCCACGTACTGTCCTCATAAAGACTGCCACCAAAGCAAAAGCTGCTCTGCAATCTGTAACCTGCCTGTGCTGGGCGGGTGTGACGCTGGGCATGCCTGCCCCAGCCAGTGGCTGGACACCTAGGAACATCTTCCCCATCATCCATCAGAACCCACATGTGACATTTTCTCCCGTTACAGACCTCCCCGTTCTTGCAAACGATCTTGTATTTGTGTCAACACTTAGGACTCAGGAGGTCCCGTCCCGATGCCCCGCCCCTCTGCCAAGTGCGTGGGGAGACGGGCTGCAAACACCACGCTGGCACCGACGCCCAGCTCACCTGAGTCAGCCCACCTGCACTCGCTGCACCGAGCAAGGCGACTTTTCCCAGATCAGTTTTCCCTCGTAAGGAAGAAGGCACATGCCCTTCGGTGCTGAGGTCGGTGGCCTCGCGCAGGAGATGCCCGGGCATTCTGGGTCACGGCGCGGCGCCTCCCGTCGGAGCCCTGGCGGCCCAGCCCCAGCAGGAGTCCTGGTCCCCAAGGCTGAGGCCCTTTGGGACCAGTGACGCAACAGGCCTCTTCCCGGCGTGCTCTTTTCTTTCCTGCGCTCACTGGCTACGTAATTTGCAGGGCCCGATGCAAAACGATAAACGCAGGATCTCTCGTTCAAAAATTAAGAATTTCAAGACAATGACAGCAGGGCATGCCGCCAACTGCGGGGCCCTTTGTGACAGTCCACGTGACATGCCACTGAAGACAGCCCTGCTCCTTCCACGGGGGCAGCGTTCCCACCTGGGTGCACGTCAGCTTCACCTGCAAAACTTAGGAGGTACCGGTGCCCAGGCCTTCCCCCCAGAGAGAGGGTCCAAGCAGCTAGGTGCTTCCCAGGCGACGGAGGCCCAGTTGAGACCCGACGACTAGGATGACTGAAGACCTTGGGGAGTGTCCTGGGCCTACATCCAGGAGGGAAGGCAGAGGAGCCCCAGGAGAGCCCGGACGGAGCAGAAATGCGTGCGTGTGGAGCACCCTGGCTGTTCGGGACCAGCACCAGGGCCCCCAACCCTCAGGAGCCTGCATCACTGCTCGGGCAGAGAACGCTCGGGACCCAGCGTCGCACCTCCACACGGCCATCCAGAGCCGTTTCCCAGAGCCCTTTGCTGCAGCTGAGCCCGGGGCCAGCCAGGTGGCTGGGAGCAGTGAGCCGTTTGTAGGCCGCTTCCCATAGGCTGGAGGGAGGGGGCGTGGCCACCGTCTCCCCTGGCTGGAGCTGAAGTTGGGGTCTGAAACAGGAGATAGAAACGAGGTCACAGCACTAGCTCTTGACTCTTTTCTACCCAAACAAAACAAGAAACGAGGAAAGGACACACAGGTAAACCAAAACCAGCTGATTTCATCTTTAGGCCGAATGCCTGAAACGGGCCCATTTCACAGATGAGCAAGCCGAGACTCTGAAGTAAAATCTCAAGCCAGGTGGCAGCTAGTTATGACCGGAGGTGGGGTTTTCCACCTCCTTCCTCCTCAACCCTTTAACGTAAACAACAGGCGTTACAAGTTACTGTTCTTTTGGACTGTTGTGCCGTCAGCTTATCGGATCAATCAATCACTCCAACAAAATATTTCTTTATCGGAGACCCAGCCCAGTCCTGGAGTTGCAAACGTGGATTCTGGAGCTGCACTGCCTGGGGCTGAGACCCACTCTGTTCTGGAAGTTTCTTCACCTTCATGCTTCAGTTTCCAAATTTGAACAGGAGGGACTAGGACGAGGTGAGTGAGGCTACGCCCTCACGTGCAAACGTAAGGTGGTGTCAAAAACCTCGCTGATCAAGGTGAATATTTTAATGCAATTTTCTAAAATCCAAACGTAATGCAAAAAAAAAAAAAAAATCCACCAAGAACAAAACGTTAGAATTTTCATAATAAGCCCTAACTCTGCCCTTGCTTGGCCCTAAATCCCAGGGTGACTTCTAATAAAATTATTTACAGAAATTAAGGGGCTGACCTGTGGGTCACAGTTGGCGAAATTTAAAAAATACTGTATTGAGCCCTGGCCGGTTTGACTCAGCAGTTAAGAGTGTCGGCCCGCAGACCAAAGTGTATCGGGTTTGAGTCCAGCCAAGGGCCCATACCTCAGTTGTGGTTTGATCCCCGGCCCCAGGCGGGGTCGTGTGGGAGGCAACAGATGTCTCTTTCCCCCATCACTCTATCTAAAGATAAATGGAAAAATATCCTCGGGTGAGGATTAAAAAACATAAATACTGTATTGAAATATTGCTCCATGGTATTGAGTTTTGGTGCGCTGGGTGAATGCCTCCCTTGCCTCCTGGTCCCAGCTCTGGGTGGCACCTGGGAGAGGGAGAGGAGTGAACACAGGTCACGTTCCCGGGCCAGTGCCTGGCTCAGAGTAAGGAGACATGTCAGCATGGCGACAGAATTAAGGCTCATCCTTTTTCTTTTAAAAAAATATGTTTTTATTGATTTTTGAGAGAAAGAGAGAGGGAGAGAGAGATGGAAACACTGATGTGAGAAACATCGATCGGCTGCCTCCTGCACGCCCCCTACTGGGGACTGAGCCAGAAACCCAGGCATGTGCCCTGACCAGGAATCGAACCGGGACCTCCCAGTCCATGGGCGATGCTCAGTCCACTGAGCCACGTGGGCCAGGCTCACCCTTTTTCTTTAAGGAAGAAGTCAAATGCAGGGACACACAAAAACTTCATGCTCTTTAGCATTTAGAAGGCAGCAAGATATCTTAAGCAGAGGAAAGCAAGAGGACGTCACTTTGATTTTTGGACCCTCCCCTGCAGAGTCACAGCTGATCGGACTCAGGATAAAGGACCCAGTTTCCCCAGCGCCCATCTGGAACTCACCTATCACACCTCCCTCCAGACTTGGAATGCAGCGCTCTTAGTCGTCCTCCCCTGCGGCACCCACGGCCAGCTGCCCTGTGTTTGCCCTCCGACAGTCCAGCTCCGGGGTCAGCCCACGGTGGCCCGCCAAATCACGGCTGGCATTTTATAAATAAAGTTTTATCGGCACACAGCTCTACCCATTTGCCTCCCTGTGATCTGTGGCTGCTTTCGTTACGACGACAGTTGAGTGAGCGTGCTACGGCAACAGGGGTGAACCGAGTTGAGTCGTTTCAACAGAGATGAAGGTTAGCAAAGCCCCAAATATTTACTGTCTGGCCCTTTGCTGAAAAAGTTCACCCACCCCCCCTGGTCCAAGTGAAGCCAAACTGCAAACACACTCATGAATCAAATTCCCCTTTCGGATCCACAGCGACCTTGCAAGTGGAGGTGGGTGCAGAGACTGCGCACCTGGCCTGCGTGGCCTGCAGCCCCTGCGCCACCCTGCCTGCCCCCCGCTCTTTGGTGGTGATCTGTATATTCTCAGTCTCATCCTCTCGGGGTGAGCAAGTTTCCTCTCCCACTTCCTGCACCATTCAAGTTTGACTGGAACACACAGACTCATTCATTCTCCTCCTTATCTCCTATGGCTGCTTTTTGTGCTAAAACCACAGTTTAGTCACAAAAGGGAACCTTAGGCTCCACAATGCCTCAGACCTTGACCAGCTGGCTCAGAACTTTTTATGGATGTCTGCTCCACTGGGAACCCAAATTCACAGGGAGACACCAGGGTGGATCTAAAACCCTTGAGGTCCATACAGCTAAAGAAAAATGAAAGAAGAAAATAAAAGACCTTCTAAAAAGGCTGACGTCTTTCCTGATTACCTGAAGAGATACAACACCAGAAGCATGCGGGACGGTTCTATGACTGATCTCTGGGTTCCCACTTGAAAGGTCAACAGCCCTCCTGATGTTAGAACTGACACGTAGATGAGCTCGCGGCCACCGGCAGGAAGGGGATGGCGGCATCTGCGCCCGCGTTCAGGGACCAAATGCTTTTCTGAGCCGTCGGAAACAACAGTCCCAAAGCACAGCGATGATGAGTTCTAAGCGGGGGTCTCCTCACTCTCCTCTTTTCTCCTGAATCCAAAGGGATCCAACAGTGTGGATCACCTGCCCGGTGTCAGACTTCAGTGGCACTGGATTTGTTCAAACGAAAAAATTCACAACAGAAGAGGCTACGTACCTCTTTCTAGTTCCTAAGTAAAATACTCTCTTGTATACAGTCTATAAAAATGTGTTCTCACATCCTCTTTCCCAGTTTAGCAAAAACAATGGATCTATTTAAGCCGTTCTAAGAGCACAGGTGTTTAGCTTGATGAGGGCACACAAGAATTTGTATTTAACAGGCTATATTAGAAGAAAAGATGCCAAAGTAGAAGAAACAGCCATTCTGGATCAATTATACTGCCCTTGGCGTTCAGTAAGTAGCCTCTTAAGTCCAGTAACAAACATGTCCATTTATAAGAGGCTTGGATTTTCACTTGCTAGTTGGTTCAGTAAACACCGCGTGCTCACTGTCATGGAAGAGGCTAGTCTCAGGCTGTCCACGCACCACACACCCCAGAACCGAGCCCAGGGCCCATTGAGCCCTAGTCCTGTCTTTAGGAATACAAGTACACAAATCTTGAATTTCACAACCACAAAGACCGAGCGTGTGTTAAGCTTGATCTCTGCTGCCACCTACAGTTCATTCTGCATTTCCCGCCGCAGCAGCACCACGGCCTTGGGAAATCCGTGCATCTATGATTACTGGAGGAGGGGGTGGGGGCGGAGACCAAAACACCATAACCTGTCCAGGGAAGAAAAATGGACTGTTCCTCTTACATCATTCTGCAGATGAGTCTGTTTTTTTATTACAAGACAACCGATAAAAGGAACCACACAAAAACATATAAGGCGAACATGTATAACCAACCGCCACCCAGGTTACACACCCGAGCTTTCCCAGCTCCCCCAGACCCTCTGTGTACCCGTCCTCATCTTCACCTTCCCCACTACACAGATCAGTTTAGTAGTTTAATAACTACACCACGGATGGACCAGTCTGAGTTGGAATCCATCATCAGGCAGCTAATCCTCCTGGGCAGAGTGGTGCACAGTGGACCCCCCCCCCCCTTGGAACAACTGGTCAACTTGCTTAGTTGATTCTCGGAGGGAAGACAGCACGTGGAGGTGTCTCCACGGCTGCGCTGGCGTCTGCTCTCACGCCACAGTGACGGCAGCCATGGCGCCTGCAGGCCTATGACGCTGGGGGCGGCCGTGCCCAGGGCTGGGTGACCGAAGTCTGGCCTGAGGGCCTCACCTAAGAGGGTGGGGCAGCAGCAGACGCCTGGAGTGCGGACAGCTCACCACCCTCTCTGGATTAGAGGCACTGGCTGGGCTCCAGGGAGGTCTCCAGCTGCCCCACGGACACCAGGGGGCCGAGCTGTCCCGACGCGCCGCCTTCAGGCGGGAAGGTGACCAAGTCCGAGTTCTTGCTCTCACTCTGGTCACTGTGCTGCCTCATGTGGCATCTCAGAGAGTCGTCCCTGACGAAGGCAGCGCCACAGGTCTCACAGCGGAAGGCCCTCTGAGTCACTATTTTGGCCACGTGCACAGAGCTGCCGTCGCGGGGCCCTTCTTTGCCCTGCGGGGCCCGGTTCTCCGTTCTGGCTTCGTCCCTGTGGACCTTGTCAATGTGCTTGGCCAGGCTGCTGGGCCGCTTGGTGTCAAAGCTGCAGAAGTCACACTTGAAGGGGCGGTCCTTGCAGTGGACCCGGCTGTGCACGCGCAGGGCGGCCGCGCTGGAGCAGGAGTAGCTGCACTCGGGGCACTTCTCGGGGTGGTCGGCCTGGTGCAGCCGGCTGTGCTCCAGGAGGTCGGCCCGGTCCCGGCCCTGGAAGGCGCAGTGCAGGCACTTGAAGGTGTGCTTGATGCGGACGTGGGACTTGAGGTTCGCTTTCATGGTGCAGCGGACGTCGCAGAACTCGCACTTGAAAGGCTTCTCCCCCGAGTGCACGATCATGTGCCTTTTCAAGTCCGAGCTGATTTTGAACTTGGCGCTACAGAGCCAGCACTGGAAGGGGGTGTCCCCTAGCAACGGAAGGTGTGTTTCCATTAGAGCAGGCAGGCAACACAGAACTCCCCCCACACATGCGTCAGAACACTTGCAACAAGGCAGGTGGGTCTTCTGCACTGCAGCTACCCGTAGCCTCCTAACACCACCATTTACCAGGGATGCTAATGAACTCGCTGGAGCCTCACCACAGTCCTGGGAGTGGGTACTGTTACCCCCCATTTTACAGATGGCATAACTGAGGCTCAGAGAGGTCAAGTTATTGACCTAAATAGCAGGGATTTGAACCCAGGCATCGTGGCACCCGAGTCCATACTCTTCAGGAGGACACTTCAGTTTCGATTCTAAACTCTCATTGAACCTGACATTCCAAACCAGAACAAGGAAGAAGGACGAGGTGCATACAGTGTTACAAACAACTGCTGGAATCCAGCTAAGACTTGGAAACATGCTTACTCTGGTGTTTAAGCTACATTACGTCGTTAACTGGCTTGTACCGCTAGTGAAAGTTTCAGTCTTACAGCTACAAGACTGGATTTTATTTATAGAAGTAACACCTGGTTATGATGGCAGGGGACACATACTGAAAAGCTATAGCCTCCTTTGCACCCGTGGAGGCACTGTGAAGGGCTTTAGTTCTTTTGGAGGCTGTTACTTTAAACATCATCGTCAGTGACAGTAAGCCAAGATGAGAATCTCACAACTTTGAGTCCATCAGTTTAAGAGGTTTTTTGAGGCCTCCCCTCTCTTGTCAGAAATAGCTTTATTGTTACATTTCGGTCCAATAACATTTGCATTCTGACCTGTGAATTTTCATGCTCTCACTAGTGGTTTTCAACTTTAGAGTCAAGCTCCACTGATTTCTCTTAACGTCGTTGATGTGTCCTTGGACTTTAAGTGGAACGACATGAATTGAGACCAATTTCACCACAGGCCAATTGACAGAAACAAGAGTTACGCTCCTATTAATGTTACAGGGAAACACTGTTGAACAGAACAGTGTTATTCGAAGACCTGCTGTAGAAGTAATTTGTATTATGACTGGGTATGTGATTTTCATCAGAGTCAACTACTGCACCAGGGTTATGTCCACCCCCTTTCAGGGTCACCGTCACACCTGGGCCAGTTCATAATGTTGCTAGCATCAAGGTCGAATTGACCTTCTTTTTCTACATGCTCATTTTGGGTCACATTTTATCATGCACACTTCCTAACTACACTGCATTTCTTGAGTAAAAAGAATCTTACCATGACCTCAAGTTGTCCAGTCTCTTAATTATGTTAAGCATTTATATGGAATTTCTAATGGATTTTCTGAATCTCTGATTTGTTAATATTCTTCCCGTAACCTCTTATACAAGTATCATCCTTTTATTCCTCTTTATTGCAATCCCAGTTAGCTATATTTCACATATTCACTATGTAAAAAATTCAAGTCAAATTTTATCTCCCTTGTTTTGCTAGAGTTTATCTTCCAGTACCTTCTACTGGAATGGTGGCTTAGAGAAAAATCAGAGCCCTTGCATATATACCTTTGTCTATTCTGCCTTCATACTTGAGGTAGTTTGGCTGGGTATAAAATTCTACTTGCAAAATGATTTTGCAGCTTTGAAGGGACTGTCCCACTGTCTCCTAGAAGCAACTGTTACTGCTTGGCATCTTGTGAGCCCTTTCACTCCCACAGCCCCTTAGAACTGTGAAATTCCTTTTCTCATTTGATTTTTTTAATTCTATTTTTGCTTCTTCCTACACCTAGTCAGCAACCAGACTTCCAGCTTATTTTCTCTCAGTTCTCCAACTCATTTTTTTTTCCTGATGTCTTGGATTTTTTTTTTTTTTTTAAAGCTTTATAGCCAGCTATCCTAGTTTTAATTCATATCTCTCTGTTTTTCCTACCTTTTCACAGAACTCTTCTTGGATGCAACATTTCTGCCTCTGGGAAGATACCAATTAGAATGGAAAAATTCTTGTCTATCACCCGAGGGCTCTGTTAGCTCCAGGATTAGTTATTTGTTAGACTTGGTGCTTTTTATACCATCATTTTCCACAAATGACTCATTATCCATAGTTGATACTTTGTTTAGGAAGAGTGGATTGGGTTAAGGATTAGACACAGGTGCCACAGGCTTTACCTGCTGGGTCGTTTGAGCCATTTTGCCAATAGGTTTCAGCTTCTCAAGCTCAGTGGCCTTGGCTGTCCACAAGTCCAGAACTCTCAGGACAGACAGATGTAAGGACTGGCTCCCAACTGTATGGCTGCCTCCCATTTGCTTGTTGGGCCAGTTTTCTGTACTCAATTTTAGATGTCGGCATATTTCCGTCTGCTTGCCATCTTCCATGAATTCACTGAAAAGTCTCATCTTATGAACCTCCTTGTGAGCCTCCCAACTCCCCATTTTTCTGTGTCACGATGGGTTATTTGGATCTATGGACTATTGACCGTTATTTCAATGGGGTCTCACAAAGGGAAGGAAATGCTCTTTGCAAAGTCTCATTTCTAGGACTACAAGTCTGTGACTTGCAGTTACATTCAACTGATTCTGCTCCATGTTTCTGAATGAAACTATGCAGAGTGTTAGCAAAAGAACGGAAACACCTTAGTTTCTACTTCGGGTTATTTGAGATACATCTTGGCTTCTTGACTGCCGTCCTGGGTGCTCATCCCCAGCTGGATTCTATGCAGTCAAGTTAGAGAACCCAGATGTCAGGTTTTCACGTTTGAATAAAAACCACTGTCCTGGCAAACAGAAAACCACAAGCTTCACCATCACCACAGAGACCCCAAGTTTCATTACGTAACCACCAAGTTACTCAAGTTGCTTGTGTTTTGGGTACACAGAGGTGAAGAGAGTGGCACGTTAGGCACAGAGGTGCCCGGGTCAGGGACTCACCTGTGTGCGAGCGCAGGTGCACGGTGAGCTGGCTGGAGTTGCGGCTGGCGTAGGGGCAGATCTGGCACTTGTAGGGCCGCTCGTCCGAGTGGATCCGCAGGTGCTTCTTGAGGCTGCTGCTGTCCACGGCGGCGTAGTCACACAGGTGACACTTGTGCGGCTTCACGCTGGTGTGGCACCGCATGTGCATGGTCAGGTTGTCCTTCCGGCTGAAGCACTTGTCACAGAACTCACACTTGTGAGGTTTGTCTCCTTCAAATACACAGAAGATTCAAGGTTGTATGGGTTACTCTATCAAGATGACTGTCAAGACATCTGACCAAAACGGTAGCCTGGGCACAGGGTCTTGCCTCTTCCTTCTGCCCAAATGCCCAGAGATAGAAAGATACTCAAATCCAGATGATCACACTGGGAGAGGAGAAGGTGAGCCATTCACTGATGGCTCAGAAATGAAGAAGAGTCCTAAGGAACAGATTAGATGAAATCCGACTGGAGGAGGAAATCCTAGGCCAAACCCCACTTGGGAAAATGGAGTGGTCACAGAGGTACTGAGGATCAGAAGTGGTGGGTCTAGGTGTCTTAGAACAGCTTTCTGGCTCCCTAGATGATGAACCACAGAAAGAATGGCAGAAGGACCCCTCCCTTACTTGCACCAAACTGCAGCAGCAATGGTATCTACCCTCCCCTACCTCTCCTGCCCCCAGCTATTAGGAAACAAGGGTGCTTAGACCAGAGAAATACTGTAATGCAAAGGCCCAAGTAGTTAGATATACCCTGGAAGACAGACAACCCCATGCCCAGAACTTCTCTACCAAATAGAGTGTTCCCTTTCTCCCCTGCAACCACTTCAGACCGATCACCTCCAATCAGAAATGATTCCACCCAGGAATCAAATACTTGCAGAAAGCCAGCACCAGGAAGACATGCCCAGTCAGCTTGCTCAAGGTCACATACTTGGCTGAAGCTGGGATTTGAACCTAAGCATTTTGGCTCCAGTATCTGGGCAGTAATAGCTACGCCATGCTGTCTCAGCAACCTTTTCTTTTGGACACGTTCAAACCAAGAACTTGAAGTTATAAAAGCTGTTTTCATCCCCCTAATAATTTCCATTCTCATCCAGTAAGTTGATTAGCAGAAGGGATGTAAAAAAAAAAAAAAAGACTCAGAAGATGGACGAAAGAATCTCCCGGAAGGATGCCCAAAAGGACAACAGGGAAAGTACAGTATAAGGAACATTAAGACACAAAACTGAGGTCTAGATTGTGCAGGACAGAACAGAGCAAATAATTACTTCTCCACACTACAGAAGCCCGGAATGATAAGCTCTTAAAGATTTCAGAACGAAAACTTCTCAGATCAGCACCCAACTCCTCAGACAACACTGGACGGTAGCAAGATGGGAACAAAATCTGTCATGTTCTACAGAAGTTACTGAAATAGAATCCTGCACTTGAACTAGCTAGCATTTGATGGAAAAGGGAAAGCCAGCTGACCGATGGTTCAGGGTGTCATACGTGAACTGGGCAGACATCAGAAAAAAAAAAGAAGTGGGTAAAATATGGGATATGAGAAAGTAATGAAAGAGAAATGGAAAGTATTGCTTCCAAACCACAAGAGAGAACCAACCATTAAAAAAAACAGCAGCAGCCCTGGCCGGTTTGGCTCAGCGGTTAGGGCATTGGCCTGTGGACCAGAGAGACCAGGATTTGGTTCCCGCTAAGGGCACGTACCTCGGTTGCAGTTTGTCCCCGGCCCTGGTTGGGTCGTGCGGGTGGCAGCCACTCAATATGTCCCTTTCATGTCAATGCCCCCCCCCCCATCTGAACAAAAAATGGAAAAATGTCCTCAGGTGAGGATAAAAAAAACCAGCAGCAGCACACGAAATAGATAAAAACCAAACTCAATGTAGACTACAACAAACATCAATGGACTAAATTTCCCTGTTAAAAATGTCAAAAAGTCAGCTTAGTGCATTTACAAGACCTAAGTAAACACGACAGAGAATAGAAAATGATAGAAAAACATTCTAGAAAAATGCTAAAGGAAAGCAAGAATGTCAATTTTAATATAGAAATTGTGATAAAAGCCGCTAGAAATTTCATATTAAAGAAAAGATAAAACTCACCAAATAGACATGAATCAAACTTTTATGAATCTAACATGGTCTCATAAAAGGTTTGGAAGAAAGTCACCTTGAAAGTTGTAGGACATGTTTTAAAACAATGTTTTGTTTTTTTTTTAGACAGAGTGGGAGGAAGCGAGAGAGAGAGAGAGAGAGAGAGAGAGAGAAACATCGATGTGAAAGGGACACATCGAGTGGCTGCCACCCGCACAACCCAACCAGGGCCGGGGACAAACTGCAACAGAGGTATGTGCCCTTAGCGGGAACTGAACCCGGGTCTCTCTGGACCGCAGGCCGACGCTCTAACCGCTGAGCCAAACCGGCCAGGGCTAAAACAATTTTTGTTCAAGAACCCAAATTGGATTACAATCGTCCTAGAGACAGGCAGCCAGAGGCCTTGCATCAAAATCTATAGCCTGTCACTTTTAAGAAAGTTTATAGACTTAAGTTCATTAAAAAAATTTTTTTTTTCCTATTTATCATCAGATAGAGTGGGAGGGAGGGCGAGAGAGAGAGAGAGACACCAGTGTGAGAGAGACACCAACCTGTGACTCATTGGTTCACGGGCCGACGCTCTAACCACTGAGAAAACCTGGCCAGGTTTATTATTTTTAATAAAAGACTGAAAGCAAGCGAACCATATGCGAGTCAAGAAACTAGAAAGAATAAAGTTCCCAGCACTTGATCAATAAAACCAAAATTGTTCGTTGAAAAGGAAGGTTTGCTCAAACACAGAAGATTCCAACCGATCAGGGTTTTCAATCTCTGCGCTATTGCATTTTGCAGTGGGCTCTCCTGTATACTGGAGCATAGTTAGCAGCATCCGTGACCCTGTCCCAGTAGATGCCCGAAACACCTCCCTCCCCAGCTGTGAGTCAAATATGTCTTTGGATATTGCCAAATGTCCCCTGTGGAGGGAGGGGTGTACAGACATTGCAAAGAGAAAAGGGACAATAGACAAAGTCAATCCCAATTATTAACTAGACTTTCACCCCCAATATATTTAGAAGACTTGATAAAATGGATGATGGTCCAGGAAGATATAAAACTACAAAGTAAAACAGATAAATAACAGTTTTAAAAGTTGCTATGGCTGGCCCGGCTGGTGTGGCTCAGTGGCTGAGCATCGACCCCTGCATCAAGAGGTCGCCGGTTCGATTCCTGGTCAGGGCACATGCCCAGCTTGTGGGCCCGATCCCCGGTGGGGTGGCATCAGGAGGTGGCCAATCGATGTTCTCTCTCTCCCTCTAAAAATCAATAAAGAAAAAAAAAAGTTGCTATGTCTGCCCTGGCTGGTGTGGCTCAGTTGGTCGGAACATTTCATCCCACACGCGGAGAGGTTGCAGGCTTGATCCCTGGTCAGGGCACGTGCAGGTGACCCATCAATGTTTCACTCTCACATCCATGTTTCTCTCTCTCTTCCTTTCTTTCTCTCCAAAATCAGTAAAAGCATGTCCTCGGGTAAGGATTAAAAAAAACAAAAAAAACAAAAGTTGCTCTATCAGAGAGGTAACCCAAAGTCAGTTGTCGACAGCTGCAGTGTTGCTGAACTTGCTGTGAGAATCTTGTTTCCCTGTCCCGGTGACGGCAGGCTGGGGCGCGCGGTGTGCTCTGCCCACCGACACTCCACCAAAACTGATGAGTCACTTTTACGAGCGAGGGTGCCACCTGCCACACTCACTTCTCCTGCCCAAGGTGACCTGTAACATTCCAGACCAAGGATGCTTGATTTGGGACATGTAGATAAAGTCAGAGGTCAGGGACTTTGTGTGGGAAATGATCACATTTTTTGTTTCTAAAACCTCTCAGTGAAATGTAGCATTCCCTCCTGTTTTGAATGCAGTCCGCAGACCCCACTGATGATGGTACCCGAGACCCTCGTGAATAGATGGGGGCCACGTTCCTGGGGTGGCACTCCCTGCAGTTCTGAGTGGCCTTTATGTTTGTCACCGCTTCACAATGAGGGAGCTGGCAGGCCCAGCCACGAGAGTCTAACATTAAATCTCAGCGCTACTATGAATACTGTCTGCGGGTGTGGATGGCGTCATTAAAATGCAGACCCTCCCCCCCAGCTTTGAGATACAATTGACAAATAAAACTGGGCAGGTTTAAGGTGTACAACTTTCAAGTATATAACACACAATACGGTATTGTCAACTCAGTCACCTCGCTGGACCTTCGAGTCCCTAACTTCCTCATCTTATAACTGGAAGTCTGCACCCTCTGACCAGTATCTCCCCATTTCTCAAGCTGAACTTATAAAAACAAAACAGTTTCTGACTCAGTGAACCCGGGAAGGGCCTGAGATTCTGCATTTCTAACAAGGTCCCAGGTGTTGCTGACGCCTTGGGTCACAAGGATTTACTGTAGTTAAAATACCACACATTTAATACCGTGATAGCCATTGTACTGAAACGTAGTTTTTAATGGGATTGTACTATATTTAAAAACAGCCCTGGCTGGCCCTGGCTGGTTTGGCTCAGCGGTTAGAGCGTCGGCCTGCGGTACAGAGAGACCCGGGTTCGGTTCCCGCTAAGGGCATGTACCTCGGTTGCAGTTTGTCCCCGGCCCTGGTTGGTTGTGCGGGTGGCAACCACTCGATGTGTCCCTTCACATCGATGTTTCTCTCTCTCTCTCTTCCTCCCCGCCCCCCCACCCCCCTCTGTCTGAACAAAAAATGCAAAAATGTCCTCGGGTGAGGATTAAAAAAAAAACCAAAAAAAAAACCAAAAAAAAACCAAAAAAAAAAACAGCCCTGGCTGGTTTGGCTCAGCAGTTGGAGTGTCAGCCTGTGAACTAGAGAGTCCCGGGTTTGGTTCCCGCTAGGGGCACGTACCAAAAAAACAACAAAAAAAGACACATTATGCTGGGAAGGGTCCATAAGGTCACAAAACTGCCAGGATCCACAGCAGACAGAAGGTCAAGACCGCCTTTACCTGGCCTGCCCCAGAGGCTGCTCTGCCCGCTGACTCCTGGAGAAAAGCCCACAGCAAGGAGTTGTGACTTATGGGGTGACGCTGGGATGAGCAGGACAGTCTGCAGTTGCCAGAGACTGGCACTGTCGTCACAGGCTCATCACCCGCCCCTCCATCCTCTGAACAAAGTCACAAGCCGGGAGAGCATGTATCAC